ACTGCTGAATTGTCAACGCTGAATTTAACCACTGCTGCATTACATTCCTAGGAATTCTCTGCTATAGCGAGTCTTTCTGGGGGCTCCTGTGCTCATTTTGGGAAAGCTGCTGCTGTGCTGATGCTCTGGAACTTTCTAGAACCTTCTAGGACTTTCGAGGTTCCCTAGTCTTCATTGTTGAGATGGAAGTCACCTTATCACTGTCTGGGGCTGCTGTCTTGGCTGGCCAGCAGTTTCCTCGCTTGCTATGGTCTTCTCTGGCCCCTTATCAGACTGACCCCAACCACTAAGGTGTTTCCTGATGGACATCAGCACTACCCACTCTCTAGGCTGCAGGGGCTGGTCCTCACATGTGAGCCCCGCCCCAGGGTGCAGTCCAGCGCACTGAGGCAGACCAACTCTGTGGCCTGGTGGAGTTCTTGTCTCTTCATGGGGTGTGGAAGGTCTGGACTCAAACTGCTCCATCTATAAATAGGGCAGGGGTCCAGCCTCCCACCTTGGTTGCACAGCAGCCGGTGGGAAGCATAAACGTGACTCCTGGAGAGAGTCCGTGGGGCAGGCAGGGAGGTTTTATTTCCTGCAGGTCCAAGATAAGATGTTCATTTCCTGAGTTCCTCCTAACAGTGTCTCAAGTTGGGAGCTTAAAACAGCAGGACTACTCCCTCCCTGAGCTCTGGAGGCCCAGAGCCCCAAGTCAGGGCATGGCAGTGGCCAGGCCTCACTCCCCTGCGGTCCTGGGAGGGCCCTTCCCCTTCTCTCAGCTTCTGCTGGTTCTGGCCATTTTTGTCTTGTAGGTGCATCACCTTAATCTTCACTGACATCTTAGGTGACCTCTGTCTCTTCTCTTTATAAGGACACTGCTCTGGTGGTACAGTGGTTAACAAATCAGACTGCTGACCTGTAGAAATGATCGCTGTTCAAACCTATCAGCTTCCCTGAGGGAGGCAAGTGAGGCAGCGAGGGGGCAGGGTTGGGTGTCCTCGGGAGTTAGAAGGTGATGGGGCTTGTTTGTTTGATTTTTTTATATCAGAGTCGGGTGAGCCCTTCCCCTCATCCCTTCTGAGTTATAGAAAGAGCAGAAGACCAGAGAAACTCCCAGTCAGTCACCATGTGAACTTCATCCCTGAGTAGCCAAGGCAGGCCAAGAGATGCCCAGGACACAGATGCAAATCCACAGGTAGAGAAAGCACTGGAATTTATTGTTCCTTGATTTGGAAGCCAGGAGTGAAATTCATGGCTAGTCAGGCTCTTTCTGTCTACGCTGACTTTAGCGGGAAATTCTTGTCTATTTGTATAACCAGAGCGTTCCTGAGATGCAAGAATGAGAGCCCTTTGCTCACCTCCATCTGGCGTGTTGTCAGAGGGGCCAGTCCTGGGGAAAGACATCATCCTGGGAAGGTCAGAAAAGACAGGAAGACCCTAACGAGATGGATTGAGACGGAGACCACAAGAATGGGCTTGAGCATGTTGGATGGAGATGGCTGATGGAGAACAGGGAGATCCTGATGTGTTAGAGTGGCTGGAGTCCTGGTCGACTCCTGCGCACATAGCAGCTCTGCTTCTGTAGCCCAGGCGTCCCAGTCTTTCCAGTTCTTTAAAGCCACTCACTTGGTGACAGCAGCCCTAGGGAATTCACACAGACCTCACGCCCCCTTGAAGCCCACAGGAACCCCTCATCAACAAGCAATTCCTTTTCTATTTCTTGCTGAGCAGAGTGAGTGATGAATGACGGTGGGAACTCTGAGTGGCCCCAGCCTTCACTGTACACGACGTTAGGGGCTGGCTTTCAGGATAGTTTTCCGAGGTTTCTGGAAGCAGGAGCATGTACAAGGGTCCCCACTTGTGTCCTGGGGTACAGCTGGGCCTGCCTGTAATGAAGAATACTGATTGCACCGTGGACTTGTGGACAAACCATCACATGTGCCTGGGAGGAAGCACAACCACAAGGCTCCAGAGAAGCAGAAGTGAGAGTTTGACCTCAGTCACTTTGATCAGGTGACTCACAGGAACCTTAGTCACGTTATCAAAGGTGACCTGACCCTGGAGCAGGACGTGGTGCTCGGTGGCTCACTTCACTGCTGTGTGGGCAGCACTGACTCACAGCTGACCCTCCAGGGGGTTTTCAGAAGACTGTCAGTCACATGGCGGATTGCCCACCTCCCTCAGAGGCACTGCTGGGTGTGAATGGCCTGAGATGCTCTTGGGATTAGCAGCGCCCTGTAGACCCTGGCACCAGAGCTCCACTCACGGGAGGTGAAGCAGAACCCGAAACCCACGGCTATCAAGTCAAGTTCAACTCAGCACCTGCCATTTTCCGAGGCAGGTTTCCTGACATCAGTAGTGTGTGTGTGTGTGTGTGTGTGTGTGTGTGTGTGTGTGTGTGTGTGTGTGCGCGCGCGCGCGCACGTGTGCGCAAGATCTGAGTAAATGTTTACAAAGCAAACTAATTTTACCTTCAACCACTGATACACATAACATTAATTATAATGTTGTTGAATTATGATGTTGTTGAGTTTTACCCAGTCAGAACTGACTCAGCTGACCCTCCAGCAAGTTTTCAGAGACAATAATCACATGGGAGGAGATTATTCATCTTTTCTCCCTTGGAGCAGCTGGTGGATTCAAACCCAGTGCCTTTGGGTTGGCAGTGCAACTCCTTACCACTAAGCCACCAGAGCACCTTATTTACATTAGCCACAGCATAGTCATATACTTCCCACGCCCTCCTTGATTCTGGTCTCTATGAATCCTTCCGTCCTTCCTACCCTGAGGCTATCAATCTTTATGGGACATTAGATGAGAGGCTGCCCATCTTTCTTCTTCAGAGCAGGTGATGGGCTGAGACAAGAGCTGGGCATCTCCCTGGGGGGCCTCCCCCATTTGGGGCCCACCTGTGGCAGTGCAGCCTCAATGCCCACTCTTTCTAGGCCTGTTTGGGAGCAGGGATGGCACCAGCAGAACACCATCTTTCACTTCCTCGTTGCTGCCCATTCAGCTCCAACTCATAGTCCAGTTCAGCCCTGGTCAGTTTGTCACACTGGGGTGGCTGCCATGTTGCTGTGATGCTAGAAGCTTTGTCACTGGTACTTTAAACACCAGCAGGGTCACCCGTGGCAGGAAGTTAGTGGAGTTTCCAGACTCAGAGTAGGAAGAATGACCTGGCAATGGCCACCTGAAAACCAGCCAATAAAGACTCTACAGACCACCTATTATCTAATGAGAGCCTTGATTGGACCAAACCCGCTGCCATGAAGTTGATTCCAACCCACAGTGATCCTGTCAGACAGAGTAGGACTGGCCTGTAGGGTATCCAAACCGTAAATCAATACGGAAGCAGATGGCCTTTTCTTTCAGTGGACTTGAACTGTCAACCTTTTGGTTAGCAGCCAAATGTTTAACCACCGCATTCACCTACCACATCAAACCTACTGCCGACTTTTTAGTGACCCCTAGGATAGAGCTGAACTGCCTCAGAGGGTCGCCATGCCTGTGCATCTTTTTAAAAAAAAAAAAAAAATTTCTTGCCGTGTGCTGTGGAATTGGATCTGACCGGCACAGGAAGAGACTGCGCCCCCGTCTACAGTAGAGCATCTGGTGGATTTGAACCGCGCGCCTTTGGTATTGCAGCACAGCTTCTTACCACTAGGCCACCAGAGCTCCCTAAGCTTGTACATCTTTATGCAGACAAAATGCATCATTTTTACCCCGCAGCACAGCTGGTGGCTTTGTACTGCTGACCTTTCAGTTAGCATCCCAGTGCTTAATCACTGTGGCACCAGAGCTCCTAGAGGGAGATAGGAAAAAGTAATTATATGCTAGGGAAAAGATCACTTGAGATGGTATCCGACTGAAGACGCCCTGGCCCTGGTCCGGTCTGTCTCCACACCGTGATGCTAACCTTTACTTCTTGCTGTTTGGTGCCCTGCAGTGCACTCTGACTCATTAAGACTCTACGGGACAGAGCCGAACCGCTCCAGGGCCCTTCTAGGCTGTCATCTTTACGGCAGATTGCCAGGTCTCGTTCTCTCAGGACTGCTGGGTTAGTCTGTAGCCTAGCGCTTTAACCACCGCGACACTGGGGCGTATGAGCCGGATGCATGGCGAGGTCACTAGCCCTGGCATTACACAGCTACAGGGCACGAGATCATCACATTTTCCAAGTAGTCCTCGCTCGAAGCGGAGGCCGCGCCTGGGGTTCCCCGGGGTCGCCTGCGGTGGCTGGGTCCAGGTCGATGCACCCCTCCAGGCGAAAGTCCACAGACTGCTGGCGATCCAGCGTGGGAGCTCATGAGACGAAGAGCAGCTCCGTGTGCAGCCTGACTCCTGTCTGCGCCTCAATCTGCAAGCGGAGCGACCAAGGCGCCGCGACTGATGATGCACCCTCACCTCGATCACAGGCCTGGCGCCCCTCGATCGCTAGTGGGCAGAACCTTTGTTTGTCAGCCAATGGGAAGAAGGAGGCGGGACAAAAGAGCCAATGGTGCGTTAGAAGTGAGGCCGCTGTCGGGCGGGCGAATGGCGGCGCGGAGGCGGGGCAATCGGCCGGAGAATATACATCAAGTCTGGGGCGGGACCTGTAGCGACACACCAATGAAGATTTGGGGGCGGGGCCCCAGGCAAGAAAATGAATGTCGGTTAGGAGCGGGTCCTTCGGCGGCCGGCCAATGGAGGCTTGGGGGCGGGGCCTCCCGCGGAGGGCGAATGGCGGCCCGGGGCGGGGCCC